GATACACCTTTGTAAAAAATACGTAGTCTTCCTTTCTTCTTTTTACTTCATCGAGTGGAAGCTTTCAAATGCAACTATAATTTTATTGGGTACGAACCTTATGGGGGGACACTTTGCTCTAGGGAAATTACCTTATCCCAGATTACATTAATGCAATTCACGAATACCATCGCCACCATTTTATAAAGAACATTATACAAGCTATTAGACGGAACTCCTTTGAAGATTTTGGAATTTCACATTAGGAAATAGAGTGACCAAATTATGAATGGGCTCAGCAAGCATCACCATCTCTCAAGAATCCCCAAGACCGTTGTTGTTATATCAACACTGATAATTTCCCAATATTTATGAAAGAATATCAGCGAGATCCCATTAGCTCCTAGAGCCTTCTGTGGCCAATTTGTTTTAGAGCAATAATGCTCGAATAAAAATGTCCAGCCCCATTTTATCACCACATTCTCCTCGCCACGAGTATCACAAGTAATTGGAATGTGATCCAATTTATCCCAATTGAGATAAGGACCCTAGCATTCTCACACATCTCCAACCATTATTCATAGGCCGCAAATGGTCAAGTCATTCTTCAATGAATCCAACATGCCTCTTGTTGCAACCCACAACCTATAAGCCACATACCTTTAAGTAGTCACTGAAATTAGTCATTTCTGCCTCATATGCTCTCCACCAACCTTTTCACCAAACAGATACTACTTGGTTAAAATCACTCCCAAGCAGCCATGCCACCATTCAATTTTTGGCATTGGGTACAAAGGAGGTCCCAGAATATGACCATTATATCATGTTTCAAACCCCCCATATATCCCTTAGAAACCACACTCTCATATCCTCTTATGTATTCTTCATGTCCACATGATGAAGGGAGGAAGAGAAAAACACAACATCTTTTTCCTCCATCCACCAGATACACAACCCTTCTTATTGACCACCATTAGAATCCACATTCTCCATCTTTACTACCTAAAATCTCTCTCAATTCTTTACTTTCATACACTAATTATTTTATTTACTTCATAACCACATTCATAATGCATGTCTCAACCACCACCACCATTGGGATCCGTAATCAACTCCGTACTTATTCTGGTGGCTGTTGAAGAAGAAGATCCGGCCGCAAAAGCTGCGGTAACCAGCAGCTTCTGATGACCTCTGCGGGGCTGCCTGTCTTGCAGACGCCGGCCAGAACCCTCGCCACCACCGAACAGCAGCTGCTTCCAGGATCTACCCCAACACCTGACCACCTCACTTCACCGGACACGTCAATCAATAGCTTTGAAGCCACAATTCTTTCGGTAGAGACGGTAAGGTCGGATGCTTGTGTGGTTGAATCAGATCTAAAATTGGAGGAGGGTCGCAGAGGATTCGAATATCTAATCGGTGATTCAATTGTGAGGAATGGCGAGTTCAATTGGAAGTCCAGGAAGAAGGATCCAAGGCTCGTAGATGGCTGATCTTGTGGAGAATAAGATGGAAGTGATGGACCGTCGATGGAGCTTGCCAGAGACATGAATTGTGTCGCCGACCAGCAGAAGGAAGAGTGGGCGACTACGGATGGCTTCGGCTGCCGCGTTCAGCGGAAAAGAGGTGACGTGGAGGACGAAGGCAGTGGCGCGGATCTCAGAAGGAGCATCACGAATGGCGAAGGCTTGTGCCAAGTCACTAGAAGAAGGGACAGAGAAGAGAGTGTCGGGGTCGGGAGACCGTGCAGCGAACGTACACGTGTGAGGGAGGGAAGCTCTGTGTGGCGCGCTTGGTGAGGAGAGATGGAAGGAGAAGGGCGTGGAAGCGTTTGACTCGAAGTCGAAGAGGATGGCGAAGTGGGACGGACCTCCTTGGCCCCAGGGAAGCTAGTCGTCGCTAGAGATCCGAACAACATCATCGGGGAAGGAGATCGAGAGGGAGAGCGGTGTCGCACTCCCTTGATTCTTCGCGTTAAGTAGCTCCGCACAACAACAACCACGGGCCACCACGAGCGAAGCTTCCCGCATGTCCATGACTGTCGAGATGTCATAGTAGAAATTGTAGTTGGAGACGACAAAGGAAGCATCGTCGGCGATGGAGAGGAAGATGGCGCTACCAGTGGTTGAAGGTGAGAAGGAAGGAGGCATAACCGTGGTGAACCCCAAGGACCATGCCGGGGTGAATGCGCTTCAAGTGAGAAGTGTGAAGGTGGTTCCAGAAGTCACCACGGAAGAAGTGATAGAGAAGGAAGATTCCAACAAGAAAGATACCATCCCGAAGAAGGGAGAGAAGAAGCCCTCGAGGAATGAGAGGAAGGCGGCAAGGAAGGCATTGCCGGAGGATGGATACGTGCCACCTCTTCCTTATCCCACAAGGATGTACAAGGAGAGGTTGGAGAACGAGTGTGGAGGATTCATGGAAATGCTACACAACCTCCACCTCAACATCCCCTTCCTTGAATCCATGGCTCAAATGCCAAGATATGCCAAGTACCTCAAAGGATTCCTCATCAAGAATCCAAGGCTTGAAGGCCTCACCAATGTGACTCTTGGCAAAGAGTGTTCGTCTTACCTCCTCGACCACTTGCCCAAAAAGCGGTCCGACCCAGGTAGATTTACTATCCCTCTTGATATTGCGGATCACCATATAGACAATGTCTTGGCGGACCTAGGAGCTAGTGTGAATGTGATGCCCTACAAGTTTTTCAAAAAGTTAGAAGTAGGTGAAGGCTCGTCTCTTTCTTCTCCCTGTTGCGAAGTGCAACCGTACAAAATCTGTGGGTCCGAGTCTTGGGCCTTGGGGGGTTTCGAGTGGACCATCTTGTGGAATTAAATATTGGAAATTGGCAGGTCACATCGGAGAGGAAAGGATGATCCAATGGACAACATGCCTTATCGCGAGAAGAGTCTCCTGGGGGCTTATTTCGATTCTGCAGGGAGGGCTTTTCCTAGGCTAGGCAAACAAGCAGATTGGGCCGAAGATTGAAGGGAAGCGGACGACGTCAAAGAGTTGTATTGGACTCTCAACTCAGGTCTGGTTTCAATGACGAAGACCTGACAAATAGCTCCAGCCTTGTGTGAGAGTGGCTGTGGGGCTGGGTTAATGGAAGGCATGACGGGTCTAGTAGAGAAATTTGTGACGGGAAGCACACCCAAACTAAACAGGTTATTGAATGAGTACGTGGGAGGGAGTCAAATATCAGGTTTCTATTATTCTATTATTATGTTTATTATTATTAAGATTAGTGGTCTTTTAGTCGTAGTAGGTTAATTGTTAAGTCTTTGCAATTCTTTTCCTATATATGTACGTAGTTATTCGTCTATTGAATCAATAAGAAGAATATTAAGAAAAGTCTTCCTAACCCTAATATCCCTATCCTCTCAATTCCCGTTCTCAATCCCTCTAAGGCCTAAGCCGATTCTTCTTTTCTTTCTTCCCAAATCCCAATCTTAATCCCTAATTATGTTCGTATAAACCCTAATCCCCAAATATCAAACCCGATAGTAAGTTTGTTTCTATCATATTTCCTCCATATCTTCTTTGGATGTCCCCTTTCACTTCTTTGCATGGGCATGTTGTTCACGTTTATTATGGTGCTCACAATTTTTCATGACCACCGTCTAAGTGGCCTTTTCTTGGTACCCTTAACCCTCGTGTGGGCACAACTCTATTTGCATAAGTGGTGGTTTGGTCTTTAGCACACCTTTCCCTAAATGCTCAAAGGCTTTATCATAACTCATCTTTTGCATGGTGCTAGAAGTGGATCCCTCCCCATTCTCCTCCTTCTGCAAATTTGTAAATCGAATAGCTGCTTACACACAATCAACCCAACTCCATGAGTATCATATGAATTTATCTATTGCGCCATAAACCCTCTCATTTGCGAGGTCCTCGGGTTTAGCTTCATCCACCTCCTTCATTGAGTCCATGATGGTTCTTGTTGTACAACTTAACATGAGCAACTCTACTTCGAGGTCTCATATTTTTAGCATGTAGATCATATCTTCTTCATACCCCTCATATCAATTCAAGTAGTCAAATACTCGATTCTTTCTACCTTATACTAATATAATAATGGGCTAGTTAGATCCACTTCAACATTCCCCCCCCCCCCCCCCCCCCGTGAAATTAGTACAAGCACCTGATTAGGGAAGCAATATGTTTCATAGTTTCCATATTATAGAACTCGATGGCGAGTTCTAGCAACTGAACCAAGCAGGATGCTCTTTGTTTCTGTCTTGCATCGTTAAAACCCTTAAACCACTGATGTACACTGGGCATGTGTCGCCCAATAGCAATGGTCCTCCTTACACTGCATTCGCATAGTAATCTCTCCTCTTGAATCATACAAGGAAGCATCAGTTTTTCATATATGATATCTAAATTGTCACCCGTTCACACCAATAAGTAGTTACAGCGCCAAGCCATCAAGTTATAAGGCGCATTTCGGCCTACCCTTCAACACCAGTCACCAGGGAAAAATCGTGATTCCTGATGTTAGGCGTCGCTTCTCCACAATAGTAAACATAGCAAGGGGAACTGTGGGTCATAGCCTTCCTCATTCAGCTCATCATTCTCTTCCTTTTCCACATGGGCAACATCTTCATAGTTTGACTCAAGTATGTACCATTCTTCTTCGTGGAGGACTTTGCTAAACAGATTCACACTTCTGCCCTTCCATGCATTGGGTTGCTCTTTTTATTTTGCTTGGGTGGAACTCAAGACCCATGGGTATCACCCATCATCTCCCCGTATTGATATCTTATATCTCGACATCACATTGCTCGAACTCTCTTTTAGGCCCTGCATTGTCTCCTTTGGGAAGAAGAAGCTATATGCAGACACCCAATCCCACTAGTATGACCTGAGGGCTTGGATGTGAGTAACATCATCTCTGACAGTGGGATAACCACCATGAAAAGAAACCCTAACTACGAGGAAAGTTCGTATAATCACAAAACCCTAATCTCGAAGTTTTTAGGGAGTAGACCTTTGCCACAAGATTAGAGGAATTTTACAATGTTATATAGCATTGGTGCTATAAATTTTTTTTTTATGATACAACTTGAAATTGTACCTTTAATGTTATGGTACAACTTCATATTGTACCTATACTTTTTGTACAAATTCTTTTATGGTACAACTTAAACTTGTACCTTATGTGATGGTACAACTTCAAATTATAAAGTTGTATCATAACATATTGATACAAATTTTTTTATAGTACAACCTAAACTTATACATTTAATGTTATGGTACAACTCTCTGCTTAGTCATTGGACCAAGATCCTCTCTTTTTGGCCCCAGGGTATATTTTCCCCTCCCTGCTTAGTCGCTAGCTTTGGAAGATACTTTGTCACTGTTGTCACAGTTCTGTTTTTGTGTTGAGTACGTTGATTCTATTAAGGACCTTTCAAACTAAGCGGAATAGAGGCATTAAAAAGATTACTAGCGCTTGTCTTATTTAGTTAGAGGGTCTCTCCCAACTCGAATAATAATCAGTTAAAACACAAACATACTCCAGATCAAACAGATATACAAACAACATACATCTCTGTGTCAAGCCACTTGCTCAAGCATGCTTCTTGATTAAGGAGAGAGAGAGCTGAGCTGAGCTCACAAGGTATGCAACAAATCTTCCTGCTTCTCCAAATCCCAGACCACTACTCTCCCGTCTAATCCTGCAAGGCAAACCAAGATAAAAGTTTATGTGCCGTCGTTGACCAAAGTGTACACATGAATCCAAGCTCTGGGACAATGGATCACGTCCCGATTAGTGAAGATTCGATGTTTGTTTCAGCTTGTAAATGAAATATCTCGAATCCCAGCAATTCTATTCTTTCTAAGAAGCGACCATATCCATTCGAAGTTTGAAAAGAAAAAGTTACTATTTCAGAAAGGACAAAATAAACACAAACCTGAAGTGCTGAAGCGTGTTATTCGCGATTTACCAGCAAGAGGCATGATGCATCTACAGTCAAAGCAAAAACAGGGAGGTTATTGGGGAGACCACCTCTAATGAGAATACCAACGCGGCCGATACCAGTGGCCTACTAGGCAGACAGACAACAGGTAAATACAGGAAGAATGACCAAAGCAAAACCCTACGTTATGCAGTTCTCATGAGCACCTCCACGCGATTTCGAAGGGCTGTTGCCATCGTTGTTGCTTGCACCATACTTTGATTGTGCATAAAATTTTCCCAAAGCTTCAGAAAACTGGTGCAAGACGTAAAACAAACAATAACATGATCTTAATCAAAAGCCTTAATGGACCATTGCAGTTCGGACCTGAAACAAATTTGGAAACCAAGCATACTGAATCCTTAGATTAAATTTACCAGAAGAAGAAAGAACAATAATGCACTGACCTGAGAACCATATTTTGGGCTTGCTAATGTTGGTTTCTTCTCATCGAGAAACCGAATAAACGTCCTACAAGTACCAAAAGAGCAAATAAATATTAGGGGGAACTTGGAAAATGGCTACGTATAGTAGTCTATCTTTGGAACATTCCACTCCAGCGTTTCGTTTTCCTAAGAATAGTTATGCGTACCACATTCCTCTATCATCTGGCGCAAAAACCATGGGATTGCAGTCAAAGCCCACGCCTATCACCATTTTCTCAGAAATAAATAACACCTGAAATCAATCAATATAACTTGTGAACCCCAGGAATCAATAAAACAAGTGTTTTTATCAAATTGCCATTCAAGAAACAATGAGGATTCTAAAAAGTCTAATAATGGTGGATGCTGACCCACATCACGAAGTGGTAGATCACGAAGTGCAACATTTTGAGCCAACGGAGCTGGACCAACATCATCCACAAAGTAAATCATAGAATTATGACCTGTAAAAGAGTGCATAAATGGATACAGGATTACCAATTTTGATTGTTACAATGCTAATGACTTAATCTCAGATATCATAACAACAATTGTTCATAGCAGATTCAATCTCAAACAAGTGAAAAATATTTCTTACCTACGTAAGCCAAGGTTTTTCCACTAGGTGACCACTTTACACCAAATGCCCAAGAGATTGAGAGGTCAAGCTGGACAATTTGCTGTCAGAAACGTACAAGCGAGGACAGGGCAAAGCAAAACGTCATTCAAAATCATCAAAACAGAAAATTGTTGAAATGAAAAACAAGTAAATCTAACAACTTTAACCAGATAATATGAACAAATATAGCATAATATTGAAAATCCGTACTTAAAGATTTATTAATATTTAAACCTCAAGCAGCAGCAGCAGCAACATCAGGGGTTAAAAATCTATCTACCTAGGTTAATATAGGTGATGATCAAATATCTGAATCCTCACAAAGGAAAAAACAGTACCAAGCAGTTAATTCTCTACCTAGAGCAGCCTTGCTAATAACAAAGTTAGTGCGTGTTATGTTCTTCAAGAAGCAAGTTACACATCCCTTGCCCAATTAAAGAGGCACCAAATCAGTTCTGGATACAATGGCCATCAATTAAATCCTAAGGAAGACACCAATTCTCATAACTTCCCTATTTAATCCATCAGCCAGAATGAATGTGGAATAAATAAATCTCTGTGATCCTTGGCATAAGAGTTATAATAGAACTTACTACTTGCCAAACAAGAACACAGCAGAATTTCAGACCAACACAAGTTGCAGCAGATTGGAAAAGGCAGTTTTAAGTTATTGCATCGCACTTCTTTCAATTTTAGTAAGCTCATACAAAATATGGCAAGTGTCAATGTCATGAAAAGGGAGGATCAGAAATCAAACCTCTCCAAATTTAGAATCTGATGAGGAGCTTGATCTGCCCAAAATCACATAAAACACATTAGATGAATCCTTATTCCCTTGGATGATAAACAAAGAAAATCAACTAACAGAAAGTTGCGTACTTTGTATCAACGCCTTTTATAAAGGTGGAGAACACTCTGCATTTCCCATCAGTAGAAGTTGTTGCAACAAAAATCTGTAGTTTTGGACGTATTAAGCTGTGATATTGCAACGAGTATTTGGCATTACCGAAACGCAATAACTAATTTCCTAGCATATCCAAGCATTAATTCTCTACATATAGAGCACAAGTTACAGCAAAAGGTATGTCTCCTAGTCCCCCGTTATAAAAAGATACTACAGCAAAAAACTAGCATCAAACGAAAAGTAATTTTGAATGCTCCAAATATACGCAAGATATCTCAGCAGAGGCAATGTATTTGACACAGCATCCATGTTTAAGGTAGCATATAAATTAACCCTGCATTCTGACACTCGCCAACCTAAGCTCAAAATATCCGTCTGTAAATTTCTCTCAGTTAGGAAAAAGCGATCAGCATAATCTTACTAGTTCTGTAAGTGAATACGAAAATTCCACTTTCTCTACATCAAATTACGAAATGTATCCTATTTTATTCAGAAGAGTAAGGGCTTCTTAACAAGTACAATGATTAATCCATCATACCACTTCAAACCTCACATGCACATCTCGCATTTAGTTTTTTATCTCAAAATTCCCAGGCGTCTAGTTTCCAAGATCCAGACTACAGTCAGGAATAAAATCTTATAGAGGCCAATTAAGACTATTTTTGCTATAAATGTAGGAGCCGGAAATGTAAGTCATCTGTCTTCTGCAATTTCCGATTGCATCTCAAATTAACTGTACATCACAATGTAAATTTATCTAGAAGATATTCATCCAAGAACCATGGGTTCCCATTTTAACACTACATTCAATGATTTTAAGGTTTAAGCAAAGACACAATCAAATATTATGGAATTTGTTAATCATTAAAGATGGTGACGGAAAATTCTTAGAACCTGCCAACAACATACTGCCGTGCAAGGCCAGTTATTGCAAAGCTTTAGTATTGCGATTCAAATAATAATTAACTCAGAAATAGGAGTCCTTCCTTTTCACGAATCTCACAAATAAAACCCCATGGACATGGCCGGTTTAAGGGCTGAAAGCATATATCCGACAGAAATAGGTCAATAATCAATGACTTCAATGATCAGCAATTCCACATCCTTAAAGCATAAACTAATAAGAAGAGGGAAGAAAGTACGCACATTGTTAGGATGCCAGGCGACACTTGTGACAGAGGACTCATGTCTTTTTCTGATAAGTTTACTGACCCACCTGTGAGTAGTGTAGTGTATCAAGCAAACAAAAATAGATGAACCAATGAGTTAGGACAAAAACAAAACAATATACTGGCTAGACCATGTACTCTAAATAGATAGTAAGTTAGCTTTGTTAATAAAAGGATCAGTTACATAGGTCACTAATGAATATGTAGTTGGTCATCTCTTCAATAAGTGCAAGGAAAATGCAGTCGCTACCCTGGTCACATCACATCAGATTTCACCCACCCAAACAAAAAACGAAACAACATGTCTTCCAAGTGTATTCAAAACTTTCAGCTCCATTTATCTTTGTATTTGTACTTAAATCCATGTCCTTCTAATTCAAATAAATGGCAATAGGAAAGGAAGGTAAACCCACATTTATTCAGCAAGTGGCAAAACTCAGCATATTAGTAGTCTGGACAAACTACTATTATACATCGAACAATATGCAAAAAGAACATATTTCAGAGTGTGTGACAACAGGGCTCACAATATGAAGAATAAGTATGAAAACATGAAAAACGTGGTAATCAAAAGATAGGTGATTACCAATTATTGTCTTGCTCATAGTAGCATATACAAACAGTTTTTGCCCCACTTCCAACAGCAAATTTGTTCTCTGAAAACAATTAAAAAGCAATTAGCCTGTATATAAAAAATGTGTTCCCAAAAAATATAATATTTATAACAACCTACTCAGGAAACAGAAAATTAGGCTCAAGTTGATGCAGCGGCTTTTTCTAAATCCAAAGCTTTTACTTCAGATAAGACAAATTACAGAATTCATCAATCTACGTTGTTTATGTTAATAAGGAGTTCGGCTGAGACCGTGAACCCAATTAACCTATAAAAACAAAAATGAGAGCAGCTCTTAACAAGCTTAACTCCACAGGTGAAAGTCAAAGCTCATATCGCCTTTGATTCAAAGACCCGGCATTACTGTATCCATACATAACAGGGAGAACAAACACAAGCTCTAAATTCACTCACATAAATTCCTTTCTACAATTGTCTATGCACATGAAGGAGCTTCAATAAGTTTCTTTACTTATTAGAAATTAAGTTTCTGTAATATATTATTATGAAGGTCTGCTATGAAAACCGTCTATTAAGCCGTTGTGTAGCATAAATCCAACAAAACTTATGACATCAATCAAGATTCAGTACCTTTAGGACTCCACTGTACACATAGTGCAGCACGGTTGAGTCTAAGGATAACGAGGGTTGGTAACCATTCTGACCCTTCATGGTTCCATACATATCTTCAAGAGAAACAAAAAATGAAGTCGTGACCAACCAGTAGCAGAAGAAAAATGTTACCGCATGATAAATCTAAAAGTGAGTGAGAGCGAGCGAGTGCACTTACGAATTCCGGTCATGAGACGCAGTCACAATTTTGTTAGACTTCACACTCCAATCTATTCCAGATATAATTTGGTCATGCTGCAACCGGAAACAATAGGCATCTGCATGTTAAGATACATTTTGGTAGCTAACAACCATCAGTCACACATTCAGGATAGGATTCAGAAGGGAAGAAGCTTATGCAAACCAACTACCAAAACCCAACATCCAACTGAGAAAGTTAAACAATCAACTGGACAATTACACAACATCCAAGGCTCTATAAAGTTACTCAATGCCCAATTGGACCATAATAGTCCAAGCATTATCCATCAGTGCAGGGTTACATAAGTAATCCAAATGGCTCCAAAAGCTGCTTGTTATTGAAGAACAAGACTCCTTCTAAGAGATTTGTTCACATGAGATAAATCGCATGACTAACAATATTCCTTATTTATATCAAAGATCTGGAATTTATGCATGGGAAACCAGGTCTTGCCGCTTTTGGTGGACAACAACCAAGATCTTCAGCTGCTGCCAGAAACTGGACGAGTTTCTACTTAGTTGACAGTACAATCGGAGAAGGCCAGAAAGCCTCCCGCCATATGGTCATTTTGGCTCAAGCTCTTTTGAAGCTACAGCCAATGGAGCTTTCAACTCGAATCTAGCTGCATTTATGTATTTTGTTCTCTCTTGCCTGAACTTGTACAAGTCTTGTCAATGTGAACGCTACCTCCTTCTGTTACGATATTTTCGTCCTCAATAATCATCCATTACTTACAACAGAAAAATCGGAAGTTATCCCATCCCTTCTCGTCGCATGACCTTCGACTCATTTCCATCGTCAAAATATAAAAAGACAAAGACTCTGAATCCCTAGAAGCTTCGACGCCCCCAACAATCGTTAGAGCTAAAAGAGAACATTTACCTTTTGGAGGACATGGACTTTCTCCCACTTTTCCTGGCTCAATCTATAGATATGCACTTCGTTATTGTTTGGACAAATTGCGATCACTGTAAACGGCAAGGAAAATTCATACATCAAAATATGGAAATGTAGGAGAACACCAGGTCTAATTCAAAGACCTCCAATCAGCAAAGGCTAACCAGATTTGCTTATTGTTTCTGAGAATCCAGACGCAATTTCGCCAGAACGAAATCACGGAGAAAGCCGCAAGAAAGCATTTACTTACTAGAGCGGTCGGGACTCCAAGCGTGGCAAGTGATGGACTGTGCAAACTGGTGAACTGCGATGGCGGCCATCTTTTTTGCTTCTCCTCCTAAGTACGGAGCAGCTTTTGCACCAGCTCCACCGGAATCTGAACGGGCGGGCGAGAGATGGCCGTAATTCTGGAATTCCAAGCTTGAATCAGATCCAATTCTGAAATCTAAATGCAGCAACCGCAGAAACAGATACGGTGAAATCGGCCACTTTCGCACGTCGTTTCCAATCAAATATATATATAAAAGACAGGTCATCACTCACTTTCAACTCTGGGCCGCAGCGAGAAGCCCAACTAACTGCCTTGTCACTAACAATCCAATTAAAACTTGGGTTAAGCGGGCGATATTGTTAGTCAAGGGGTGTGAGTGTGTCTCGGGCCGATCCAAAGATGAGAACTAAGAAGATCACAAACATGTGGGCATTAGGTTCGAGAAACCAAAATCGAACCGGACCAAATCGGTATCAACCCCAACCCAAACTCTTTCATCTTCGGCTCAAAATTCGGAAGTCTGTTGAGTTATTTTGAAATTTGGTTCAGAACAAACCGATTTGAAGTCCGATTGACCGAACCGATTGACTGATCTCCTATACTCTCGCTAGCCTAGACTAATCCTCACCCCACCCCCCAGCACCTCCCCAACCCCAAAAGTGCTTCTTCTCTCTGAATCTGAAAATCTCGTCACCTGTACCCATCACCATCTTCCCCAATCTAAGACCAAATCATGTCCTTTTTCCCCAAACCCAACTTGAATCCATCGATCCTCTCTTTCTCTTTCAACTTCCCTCGTTTAGCGAATCTGAATCTGCATCACCTAGAACCACACGAAATCAAGCAGCATCGGCAAGAGATCCGTTGGTCCCTCTACGAATTCGAAACGAATCCAGACCAGCAGCAGCAAGTCGGCAGAGAGCAAGCACCCCTTACACTTCTCTTCGTCCGTTCGCGGCCTCCCCTAACCCAGAAGACATGCATCATTTTTTTAGTTTTTAGTAGACACAATACCTGGTTTCTGTGATGTGACAAAAACTATCATTCAAAATGAGTTATTGTTATATCTCAACTTTTAGTTGAGATTGTTGAGATAGTTGAGTTGAGATTGCTTTATCTAACGGGTCGTTTGCTTCATGGATTTTAAATATGAGGGTTTTGGTAAAACAGGGTTTTGTAAAACCATGGATATATGATGGATTTGGTGGCATCATGGATTTGAACAAGTCTATTGTTTGCTTGTTGGATTTGATAATGGATTTTATTTGATTAGATTTGTGGATATGAAATACAAATTACCTTGTTACCCTTATGTAATTATATTTCCCTTAAAAACAAATCTAATGCATACAAATTAACTGAACTTCTACTTTGTGAACTCGTTCAATTACAAATGTAGAAATGCATAATAGTTTGAACATGACACAACTCCCTAATTTTTGGATCCAACTGTCGATCCAGCAATAATGCACAAGATGAGCATAAAGTGTTAGAAATGTCAATAGAGGAGTAAATAGAAGACTCAGTAGACGAAGATGTGAAATTCAACCACAATTGAAAATGTCCCAATTTTTTTATCAAACTCGAGCACGACGCTTAATCCAAAATTTCATCCCGAAATTCACAATTTATGCGAGAAATTAATGTTAAACAAGCCCAAAAAAAGAAAGAGACAAGGAGAAACAAACAAGAGAGTCCCTTTATCATTCATTGCTCTATATGAAAAACTGAGGACAAAGAGTTGGATGCCACCACCGGGGAAGAAGGAAGGGTAGATTAGTCATTAGGTAAAAATAAGTAGGGATAAACTAGTAAAATGCCATCATGGATTGAAATCCATCACCCAATTCCCACCTCCATAGGTGGAACTTCCAAGTCTGTGGGGTCCACGGATTTGGACCTCCAAACTCTGTGGGCCCCACGGATTTACTCCCTCCAATTCCATCAAGCAAACAATAGACTTTTGTCAAAGTCCATGATAAATGCAAGTCCATCACCAAATCCATCAACAAAACCTTGAAGCAAACGACCCGTTAGTTTTTAACTGATGTGATATACACAATCACACATACCAAATATTGTATTTTACAATGCATCGAATTCGACAATACACGTCTAATATTATACATGTATTCACAATTATACATCTATTAAACAATCACAAGTTTCAAACAGCCCCTTCATCTACAAATATAATAACTAATAAGGCAATGTCAACAAAAAAATAATTTGACACATCAACTCCTTCTCACCAGCCTGCACAAGTCAAATAATCCTATATATCTTTTCACTTCCATAGATAGCCCATTTTGGCAGAGCTTTTCTGCCTAAACGACTTTTGGTTCTGTCTATATAGTCACTCCACAGTTAGTGAAGATCCAAGTTTTGGAGTCTTTCTAGAAGATCATAAATCGACACCATGGGTGCTGATTTTAGCTCAAAATTGGTAGTTGGGTTGTCGTCTTCTGCGCAGTGGGGAACTTCCGCTTTAGCTTCCAGCTTCGTACCTCTTAACAGCTCATGGCATTCATGGCACAGAGGCTTGCCAGTATCACATTGTGGTCGAGCCACTCGGGTTGGTTTCCCGCATGAACCTTGATATCTTATTTGGGATTATTTTTCGTGTTGCTCAGAAGAGATTATAGGCTTCTTTGGGTATTTTGAAGCTCTAGAAGAGAAGCTACTTGGTGCTCGAAGTTCATAAGTGTTGCCTCCTGAACTCATATATATCACAAAGCTCATCTTTTGTTAGTCCTACTAGAGGATCATGATGGTTTGCATGTTGTTCCTTAAATGGAGGTCGCTAGTGAATCCAGGTGGTGCAAGATTCGATTTACTTGCCCAATTAGGACTGGGTAGAGCCTTACCATCCCAATACATGGGGTAGTTATCATAAACGGTCACAAACCTTTGCATTTAGTACAAAATGGTCATAAATCTTTAATTTGTAACGATATGGTCATAAAAGTTTGAACTTGTACAAAATGGTCACTTCTGTTACTCTCCATCCGAATTTCCGTTAAATTTATCTAGTAAGCATTCCACCTCATCAAAACAAATAATAAATAACTCCAATTTAATATCTAACACCAACCATTATTCAGACTGGTCAAAAATTGCTAAAAAGTCGGTCAAACCCAATTCCACCACTCCCGCAACATCTTCTTCAAACCCCCCCTCGCCGCCGACATTCATCCCGTCGCCTCATGACACAACACCTCTCTTACCCTCATTCTTCTTCATCGCCCATTCCAGTCAACATGGGGAGGCTAAATTGAGCTAGCAAGCCCAAAGCTTTCTTCCAACCCACCTCTCCCAGTAAACGAACCCTAATTTCTGTTTCGCATGAATCCCTCTACAACGCCACCTTACTTATTGATAATAATCTCGACCAATTCAATCCCAGGTCAGGAAGAGGAAGGGAAAACAATGGGGAAACGAGACTCGACTAAAAGCATCTCCTCTCCGTCTCATCTCCTCTCCGTCTCATCTCCTCTACTACCTTTGGTTTGCCTCTCTCTCTCTCTCTCTCTCACTCTTGTCGAGCAGGGGCATCAGCGCGGTGGCGACTGTCGGTCGTTATTTGCCTCGCTGTACGTCTTTTCTCGGTGGGGATGCTGGACGAAGGAGTTTAGATGGCGACCTGCGGCGATGGACGATCGTGGGCCGAGGAAAGGGAACGGCAGGAGTGGTGACGAGTTGAAGCAGACAGTGCTAGGGGACGCCGCCAAAACCAACTCCAGCCGGGGAATCGCCGCAGCGTCGTGACCGGCGAAGATGGGGAGGATGAGGTGGAAAGGAAGAAGGAGACGTGAGGCTGTGGCAGGGTGGATCAGTCGAGGTCTTATCGTTTGGGTGGGTTGGGTTAGGGTAAATTTTTTTAATTAACATTTTGAATTTGTTTATTATTAGTTTTGATGAGGTGGAATGCTGATTAGGCAAGGGAGACGGAAATTTGGACGGATAGTGACGGAATTACCATTTTGATATTTGCTCAAATGTTTGTTACCAATTTTTTACAAATCAAAGGTTTGTGACCGTTTTGTACTAAGTGTAAAAGTTTGTGACCTTTTGTGTTAATTACCCCCAATACATGTCATGAAGATACGCACATTGGTTGATGATATTTTTGGGTTGTCAGATCTTTTTTCTTCGCGGAAGTGGCCAGGTCCAGGTGGTACTTGGCTCTAAGCTTTGTAATCATCATTCATTCGATTATCAAAGCTCTATAGGCAGCAAAAGGATAAGGAGGTAGAATATTCAGGTACTCATAGCTATTGCAATTAAGTCACGATTTAGAGGATAACGAGTACCTATAAAATTGACTTCTTATATTAGGAATTTGTCAATAGCCCTGAAGTTTATCCCATCATGCCCATATTTTCCACACCGTCCATAGATAAAGAGATGTGTTATGATTGGATTCTGTCTCAATTTCAGAGAATTCGCCTCTTTGATTACCTTAATGAGTCGTTGAGATAGATCCATGAAGGGGTCATCTGATACGATCCCAAACCGACCCTTCCTCATGCCTGAACTACTTGACAAAGAAACCAATCCCATTAGCAAGAAGAAACCCAAATTTTGGTTAAGTGTTGATGTTGTTTCAGGATCTCTACTTCGCAAGTTTGTTTCTCACCCATGGCTGGATGAAAATGCGAAGAAAAGGTTGAAAGGTGAAGTTCACATCTTTCTCTACGAGAAAGAAGGAGTGGTTGATCAGAAAAAGGTCTTAAACAATTCTTTCCAAATCTATCAAAAGAGTATCAAGCAACAGAGAAGCTGCCTAGAATTGGCTAAGGCATTAGGCAGTTTCATGAAGCCTACTTTGGGAACGCAGGAGAGATAGTGAAATGGGGAGAGTAGTATGGGTCACGCCAAATGAACCTAAGAGCATCAATACATTCAGTGAGGCGGTGGGAACGTGTAGTGCGAATCGATTGGGGTCTGGCAGCCAAGAATCAAAAACACCCAAATTGGTTCTTTCGACCCCAACTGTGAAGTGTAACGAGCAAAAGAAGGGTGAATCGGTTGCAGAGTTTGGAAAGGAGTCAGCTCAACACTTGGAATAGATTTCTGGAGACCCAAGGACGGTGTATGGAACCAGCAATCGCCACAAAAATGCAAGATTCTAAAATGCCAAATTTTTGTTTGGGTTCGCCAGAATCTGGGTTTTGCTCGCCGGATTCTGGAAAATTCAAATTCTCCGGTGGCGGGACATTCGTGGGTCTTAAATTTGGACGACTTAGGCAGAGTCGAGACATGGGAAAGAATGGAATCGAGCCCTGGAGTCAAGGGAAGCC